TTCAGTTTTTTCTTTTTAATAAAGGTACAGACATTTCTAAAATTCTGCTTTCACTTTGTCATTATGGGGTACTGAGTGTAGATTAGGGAGAAAAAAATGAATTTGAACGACTATAGTATCAGGCTGCAACATAACAAAATTGAAAAAAGTGAAGGTCTGAATACTTTTTGAATGCACTGTATATGCTAATTTACTTTGATATTTGCATTGGTGATTCAGTCTTTTTGTTCAGGTTCAGTAGGATCGACTATGAGGAATCCTTCATCTGCAATGGTTTCTGTATTCACCTTTGAGAGCACTTGAGAATGTCAAGTAGATTTTTGCTCTCTTTCCCTTTTTTTAATATATTTTTATTAGAATTTTTTGGTAAAGTAAAACTTTACAAAACAAACAAAAAAGAAAGTAATAAAATGAATGAAAAGAGAAGAAAACATATAGTTATGCCTTCCGCCCTCCTTTCTTTCAAGTAATTATCATCTTATTGTTTTCCCCATCCTGTTTGGCCCTTTTTAATCCCCAAATCCAGAAATCATCAGTTCAGTCTTTTCTTCTTTCAACAAAAAGTCCATATAAAGTTTATTTCAAAAAAAATCTTTGTAATTTTTTCCCTGACTAGGCTGGTCAGCTTCACCATTTCTGCAAGTTCAGTTAATTTTATAACCCAATCTTCCACTGTAGATATTTCATTACTTTTCCATTTTTTTGCAAAGAATAGTCTTGCTACAGCTCATAACATTTCTTTATAAGAAAGTGGCACTGAACCCTTTACTTTTTGTAGTACAAGTAATCATATCATCACATACGCAGAAATCTATAAATGCACAAAGCTACATCTACATACTTGTTGCTGTTGAATTGTGCAGGTTACTCTGTGGGGTCAGTTCATTAACTTGCTTGCTTAGTAGATACGTTTAGTAGAATTACTGCCATGGTGACAGGGATAGCAAATAGTGTCCTTTCCCAGTGCTCATATCATCATGAGTTGCAGTCAGCAGTTAGTCACAATTACTTGTAGTTGGACAAAATGTTGCACCCAAGTTAGAATTGAAGAGGCCCAGTTTGCTGAAAGAACAATTTCTGGACACAAGGGAAACCCTTTTGTACATTAGATATACTTTTATGCTTAAATACAGAGACTAATATATTCACTTCCAGTAGTGTAATAAAAATGTGTATGTACATAAACTCCTGTTGATGTAGCAATAAAGTTTAATTACTTAGTAATGAATGGAAATTCAGTAGGTGCAATCAACTTGCTTGTGTATGGAATGTTCCTATAATGAAAATTCCAACAAAGTAAATCCTTTATGTGCTAGAAATACCAAGTAAATCTTAAATTAGATCCCTCCTACAGTTTTTTTTTAATATACCAGTTTCCTAGAATAAAGTAATGTGTAAAAGAGAAACTATCTAAATGAATCGCGGTCGGTCGGTCGGTCTGTCAAATTTGTTTGCCATCCAGTTCCCAATGACCAGCGGGTCACAACAACTAAAACAAGAGAAATACAATTAATTAAAAAACTAAGATATCAGTCTTTTAAATTTTTGTTTGGAAAGGACTTGTAATAATAAAATTTGTTTTTGGACATTGACCAATCAGATGTAGCATACCCAAGTGCAATAAAAGTATAGAATAGAAGGGGGGACCCCAAAAAAAGCCAGAATTATCTTCTGGAGGGTGGGCCCCATGCTGTACAGGCATCCCCTGCTGGGTGAGTGTTCTAGGAACCCGTCTGCATCAGCGCACCAGCTGGGTTGTTGTGAGAGGCTGTGTTCGGCTTCAGTGAGTTTTTTTTTAGAGACTCAATGCGTTTGCCTATTTCGTGATGGGCGATTTGTGCCTCGCTTGCTCACGCCTGAACAAACAGGCAATCGCTAGACTGCGTGCCATGCTTTGAAGGAGCAGTTGGAGGCTGACCCTGTTTTTTTTTTCAAAAGTCATAACCAGAGACGAATCTTGGTGCTACACCTACGCCTCCAAAACGAAACAGCAATCCAGCCAATGGAAAACTGCCCACGACCCAAAAAAGCACAAGTGAAGTCAAATGTGAAAACAATGATAATCTGTTTCTTTGATGTGAGAGGGATTGTGCACTCGGAATTTGTTCCCCCAGGTGAAACGGTCAACCAAAGTTTTTATCTGGAATTTTTAAGAAGGTTGCGTCAGAATTAGCAGAAGAAACATCCCGAGTTTTGGCAAACAGATGACTGGTTCTTCCACCATGACAACACACCTGCACAAACCGCGCTGAATGTTCAGCGGTTTTTGACCAAAAAAGGCATGACCCTTGTGCCCCGCCCTCCCTATTCACCCGATCTCGCCCCGTGCAACTTTTTGTTGTTTCCCTGGATGAAAAAAGTCCTCAAAGGGAAACGTTTTGCCGATGTGGAGGAGGTGAAACAAAAAATGGCAGAGGCACTAAAAGGCATCAAAATTGATGAGTTCAAAACCTGTTTTGAGCAGTGGAAAAAACTTCTCGATAGGTGTATTGCATCAAACGGGGAGTACTTTGAAGGTGACTGAAGTTTGAATGTAAAAATAAATACACAATTTTTTATAAATAAATTCCAGGGGTTTTTTGGGTCCCCCCTCGTATAAAACATAGAAAATTAAAAATGAAAGTAACATTAGAAATAAAAATAGCTGAATCACTAAGGGAAGAGATAAAAGTAATATGAACTTGTTAT